TAAAGGTAACTACTTCACTTAAATTTTCACTTTATGGTACATGTTCACATTATTTATTGACTGTATATCAAATATATTTTAAATTTAACTGAAGATATTACATAATACAATATATAATATTCAATAAATTATGAAGACTTAAATCTTATTGTATAGACTAGGTCATCAAATCACTACGTTGCCTGTAGGAATTTTTAATGTCCAGCAGGTGTCACTATTGAGTGACACAGAATCGACAGTTTTGCTATGTGTCGATACGATACATAACGCCTCATCTACCCATCACTACTTAGGGTGTGTTCACACTGCAGAATAAAGTGACTCACTTACGATTTTTTGACGTAATGCGACCTATATCTGATCTTTTCATGACAGTCTGAATTGCACAGGTTGGATTCTTTACGAATGCGACCCATATCTGATACGTATCCGATTCAAATGCGACCTAATGTCCAGGACCCATTCATCCGAACTGAACGTCACTGATACTCAACAAATCCTGCGTCCTGATACGTGCAAGTGGGAAGAAAACAACCATGACGGACTATAATGAGGATTAAGTTGTTAATATGCTGCTCCGGTTGGACAACTTCAAATATGTATGCTAAGCTCCACCGTTAGCCTCCATGTTTACTTCTGCAAACACTGAGCACTTCTTTTTATGGCGGTTGGCAGAACACTTAGAATGCTGACGCTATTGCGCCCTCTACTGCACATGCAGGACACTAAGTTTGTTTGCCCGTTCAGACTGCAGAACACATACAGGTCGCATATGTGTGGCAGTGTGAATGGCCCGGCAAAAAAAAAATCCAGTTTGACAAAAAATCAGAATTGGGTCACTTCAGGCTGCAGGATGAACGCACCCTAAATTTTGTCACACCCTCATCAAGTCTTTGTCAAAACCAAAACCTGCAGTTCCTGTATTGGAGAAATAATTAAATGTTGATGACATTTAAGGATATTTTTTAAATGTTTTTTGTGGAATCCTTCATGCGGCCTAGCCTCACCCAGACTCTGCCTGCAGTGGCCCCCGGGTAAATTGAGTTTGAGAACTCTGGTCTAGAAAGAAAGCTGATCTATTCTTTGGTGCCACCAAAACTATTTGTTAGCAAACATTTCATATTGGGTCAAATATCACCTAATATCAGAAATGCATTGTAGTTTCAATTTCAACTAGATGATGTTAAGTTATTGATCATGAACTAATTTGTCCTTCAACTTGTTGCTCACATGAACCAGCAGCCACAATGACAAGAAAAGAGCACCTCCCTTTAGGCCCGACTCGTTCTTGTTTCGGTTCTCAGAACCAACCTGGGTGTCTGTGGACATGCGGCTCCCACACTCACTGCTCTGCTTAACTTGTTGTTGAGACAGGAAGTGCTGATCCTCTCTTATTGCTTTTACAAATAAATCATCAGCATAAAAACTTGGCTTTCTAAAAAACAAATGTACAAAATGAACCTTCAATGTCAAAGTAAAAACTTTCCTCCCCAATTCTTTTCTCTGTCCTACTGATTGCTTAGTTTTGTTTTTAAAAACCTGTCTGAAATAAATAAATCAAATAAGACAAATCAAAGTATAAAATGATATGTAATGCAGACAAACTGCATATTCTGAACTTGGGGAATGTACAATCAACTCCATTTCTAGATCCAAGCCAGGCTGCAGACTCTTTATGTTTTGGGATACTGGGTCAGCACCTGCATGAAAAAGTATTTGGTTTTACTTGAATAGACCATGCACATTTCATGGTGTTTATGGTCGAGTACAAATAAAAGTAAAAGCAGAAAAAAATCAGAAAATATTTGAACAGAAACCACTTTACACATATATTGTGTAAACAGACAGCCTAGCTGATGTACTTCATATCTTGTGCTGTTGTGTTTCGGCTAACATTACTCTGCATTTATCAACTTTAAAACTGTTCAATACAGTTTTATTTTCTATATCACCTAAATAATTTGACTTTGAATGAGAAAATACGCATCTGAATGATCCTCCATTCAAATTTTCTCATGAAGGTTGACACAAGCCTGGCTCTGAAGATTGAGGTTTGGGATGAAGATCCGAAATATGACGACCTTCTCGTACAGTGCGTGAAGTACCTGAGCCCTGGCACTCACACTTTCACGTGCACAGGATTGTATGGAAATGTTATGGCTAAATACACACTGACCTGTGAACCGTATCTGACTGGAGAAAAGTGCAGACGTTATAAACCATCTCCCTTAGAGACAGAAGATTGGTGAGTTTTGGGAATGAAAGCATTTCATTTCATCATATAAAATTAACTCAGTAAATCTGACAGAAACTCATAATTTATATTTAATTGCTTGACATTTTTAAAGACCTACCTAAATGTGTATTTATCATACAATGAAAAAAAATTCAAGATTCTGTGTAACATTTAATCACAAGAAACTACTAATATGCAACCAGAAATTGTTTTCCCTTTAATAACTATAAAACTTTTGAAATTGCTACAAATTGTTGACTTCGTATATTTTTGACCAATCTTGTATTAGTTGTATGAATTATGTCTTATATGTGTTACTATAAAAGAGAGAGAGACGTAGTTACGTTACAGGACGTGTCACAAAACTATTTGGTCAAGACCTTCTGTATGCAGCAAAGCGAAGAACCAGGGGACAAATTTTTCAACCTGATCATTGTTTCCTTACAGTTTTATGGTTAAAATCAAGAGGTGCTGATGAAATGTATTAATTGAAATCATCTTTCATCATTTAGTCATGTTTGAGACAGTGATCTCATGAGCCAGAATGTTCAATGTTTCTTTATTATTGTTATTTCTTACATAAAAAATCCAGGCACCACAGTTTCACAGTTTTCCATTAGAAGACATTGATCTTAATCCTTTTGGAAGACAAAAAAGGGAAAAAATCTTCATTCCCTTCTGGCCTGCAATGATTTAGAAAAGCAAAACGGTTTTCTAGCTGTTTGAAGTTGCTTTCAAATCTATTATAGTGGAATGCATATTTTACTAAATAAATAACCACAGCAGCTTCCAGTCCTCTGAGTCCTACCTTTGAGGAAACAGATCCTTATTCTTAAAAACATCCAGCTTCCCTCGCTGTTTGCTCTGTCACTTGTGTCCTATATTATCTGTAAAATAACTGTCCTAAAATGTTGAAAACTGATCTAAAGTCAGTCTGCTGCACGTAATTCAAAAAGCAGACAACGTGCGCACAAACCAGCTCTTCAAATTTATCTTCTGCAGCAAAAAAAAAAAATAAACAAACTTTGGGATTCTGCAGAAGCCAAAATAATTAAATAATAATGGAGTCCACTGTAACAATCTTGCTCTGAGTGTGTGAAGCCAAAGCAGCTATCAGAGTCAAAGAGGTTTAAATAAAATAAGAAAAAATAATGTTGGCTGATGGTAGAAATGAGTGTAAATTTCTAATGGCCCTGCAGCAGGGCTGGACAAATTAAAATATTTTTTTTGTACTCGGTCCAATGTTAATCCATTTTTTTCTTCTTGCTCTCCTTTAAAAAACAAATTACAAATGAGACAAAATAATATAAAAAAGTGGCTTTTATATAAATCAATTACATGACAGAGTGTTAGGGCCCGGCTACAGAGATTTTGTTTAATTACAAGAATATTGTCGAAATATTAGAAAACTATGCAATTTTACCAGAAGAAACATCTCCAAATTCAGAGAAAAATTGTTTTAATGAGAAAAAATACAACAGCATATTAGGGTCACTAAAGATAGAAAAAAGTAGTGATGGGTCAGGCAACACCGATGCGTTGCTGCATGTGTCCATAGACCAAACCCCGTGTCGGTACGTATTGCTTTCAGCAAGTCATGTGACCGATACAGGAACTGTTTTGAAATGGCATTAACGCACCAAACTGTGTTTATAAGGAAGCTAACCTGTCAAACTGTCTGTCTCTTGCTCTCATTCAGAACACCTGTGGCTCACCTCCAGTTCTCACCTGCCTGTCCACCCTCCAACCTAGAAAGCAAGACCGATTACTACTCACCCAGTCCACGAACAGGCAGCCAACCACCGGAGCTGTGGATGCTCCGTTCGCCTCCCCTGCTTCATATTTTAAGACCCAGACTCCTTCCAACGCATAACCAGTTATCCTGTCCTGCCCATTAATCATCTCCCTGTCTTCCAGTGAGGATCTGGTCCAGACTTGATGTTGACCTCCTGCAGAAACTATTTTTCTGTTGAATAAAACATTTAACCGTGCTTTCCGTGTTATCCGTAGTTGTTGCTTGCAGCAGAGTCATCATGACAAGGGCTGGATTATAATAAAATCAATCACGATACTGCAACGCAGTATTAGGACCAGGCTAAAAAATATAATTACGAGAAATAAGTCATACTATTACAAGAATAAAGGCAAAATATGACAATTTTATTCTCATAATATTTTTGACTTTATGCTCGTATTACTATGACTTTATTCATGTATTACTTTGATTTTCTTCTCATAATGTTATAACTTTATAATGTAAATATTTTAACTTTATTCTGGAAATATTTAGATTTTAATCTGGAAATATTTTGACTTTATTCTCATACTACTTTATTCCCACAATATTACAACTTTTTTGTCCTGTTGTATAATTGAAAGGTGGCTGAACTCTTAAATATAAATATTGGTAAAGTAATACCACAAGGAGACATATATTTTTCTGCTTTTGCCACAGGCGGGCTCGGAGATTTATTTCACTCTTCCACTGATATACTCTTCACAGTTTCATCAGTATAAAAACCAAAAATCTCCCCGTACCCTTAACATCACCCTTTTTTATACCATCTCATTTTCACTGGTGTAAGTTGGAAAGTTTCAACCAAAGGAATCGCACACCTTGAATTACGTAAGGATCCTGGCAACCCCCTACACTGAATGTGTATTGGACTTCCTTGAAAATATTCGAGACCTCTTGACCTCAAGACCTGCTCCATTTCAGAATTGCCGAATAAGCCAATTCATCAGAAATTGTTGCTCCTATCTGTCCAAACAGCATCCTTCCCAAGTCATATTTGGTCCAACTTTGTGCTTCGCATGCAAGGGAAGGAAGGGTGTCAGGTCAGTTTGACCCAACGAGGTGCCAAAAATCCTTTCACAAAAACAACTCCTTAAATAGTATTTCCGCTCTTACATAATCCCCCTATTCCACTTTCAAGTGGAATCCTAATTAACCTTAGCAGTTGTTTTTGCTTATTGCTATACGAAGTTTACTTGGTTTCCTGTGAATATAATTCTGTATACAAACCTTTTTAGAAATATATAAAAGTCACTTAACAGCGGATTAAAATGAATAGTGGGGGTAAACATTGTTTTCATGAGTAACTTTAACTAATATAATAATTCCATTACATTGATTAAACACAATTGGTCATTGCTTCCATGATTGTTTTTCCATTTGTACAAGATCAAAAAATCCTGTTGACCTTTTGTTGATTTGTGTTATTTCAGGGAAAAAACTACATTATGGTCACCCCCCTCCACGGTCAACCACCAGTATCACATGAAAATGGCACAAATGTAATATAATCATGGATCCACAGTGACCCGAATCATAGATATTCATGATAATGGTTACTAAATCAACATTGATACATAATCTTGATGACAACTTATGAAGAAATGTCCATAACACACATATAGTTCGGAGTGATTGTGTGACTGAAGTATTGAATCATAATAACCCAAGTCTTGTTAGGCATAATATTGTCGCTTAGTGCTTGTGCTCATCCACGCACTCTCTTAAGCTCACATTCTCATTCATACTGTCATATTCATGCACACTCATTCATACTCGCATTCTCACTCATACTCACACATGCTCCTAGTGTATTAAAAATGTGTAGGCCACCCGTGTTATATTGTATATAAATTGTATATAAATTGTATAATAAGTATGTGTAGTGGTGTATACAAACAGTGTCTTTCCCATGAGTCCACTTTGTTCCAAACCAAATCAAGTTCTGTTTCAATTCCCTTGAACTCTTCAGACCATTGAACAAACCATAAGCACATTTAGTTCAGGCATCAAATGTCCTTGAGCTCAGCAGTCCTTAGAATTGGTCACGGGTTCACTGGTCCAGGCGGCCTTGTGCTTAATCCGTCTGATGTTCACCGTCCTTGGTCATCCATCTGTATAGAGTCCTCAAGATCCATGTCCTCATGATACAGAGCACACAACACACAAGCATAAAAATAACAATTAGTACTACTACTAGAGTTATTCCTATTTTGGCTGCTAAGGCTCCCCATTCACCTAAAATTTCCTCCAGACTTTTCCATGGCCAAGTGCTCTTCCCTGCATTTTCTTATAACCCTTGTGCGTGCGAGGACTGAGGCAAATGTGCTAGGACTGAGGAAAATGATACAGGTGTGGGGTCAGTTGGACCCCATTTGTAAAGAAAATGGTTAATTCCAATTTCAGTTTACTCAACTTAGTCATTACTGCTCTAAATGTTCCTTTTGGCGAGGTATTCATAGGGATATAAGTGCCGCATTCATCTGCAAACATATGGCAAACTCCTCCCATATTGGCAAAGATCCAATCTAATACTTGTCTGTTTTGCCATTCTACTGGTTTTATGGAGTTGTTCTCCTAGGGCCATAAATCCTTCAATGGTAAAGATGATCATTCTCTGTTGGTTGTAATAAACATAGTTAATCCATTCAACATTTTTGTTAATTGTGATCCGAGGTAAGATAGATTCAAAACCTACATGGAGTTCATGTTGTGCTTTGAATTAATATGGAATTTCTCTTGGTTGACCTATAAGATTCAAATATACTCCTTCATTCAATCCATAATCCCCCAGGCTTCTATGAAGCCTTGTTTTATTGTTGTGCATTCCTACTAAGTATTTAATTCCTTCATACACTAGGGCAGAGGTTCCCAAACTGTGGGGCGCACCCCCTAGGGGGGGCGC